AAAAAAAAGTAAAAAAAGAATAAAAAATAATCGAGTCTATAGGACTGATAGTCTTTAAGAATAATGGCTTTGTTTACCTTCAAACCAGGCCAGTGGTAGCTGAGCTACCACTCTCAGCCATTCTACTCAGGGCCACAATAGTTGGAACAGAATGTACAACAAAAACCCAAAACCTCAAAACATCCAGAATTGTTAGACTAGTTAAAATTAAAGAACTCATTGAAACTAAGGTACTCTTTAAACTTTGAACAAATACTAGCCCGTAAGCACCTTTCAGTTCAAATCAGTTTGGTTCACAAAAGAGACAGTACTATGCGCCTTTGAAAAATAATCTGTAGAAGACTAAAAGGTCAGCAATTACTTTAAAACAAAAATGAGAAGATAAGCGGTATGGAAACTATTAATGGACAAAAGCCAGAATGAAAATCATGAGGATGTGTATGTATTGTGAAGAATGTAGCCAAAGTCCCTGAATAATTCGTGTGAAATTAAAATGCCATCGATGCAATGCTTTCTCTGAAGACTCTAGAGGTCGATACCTTCCCTCTTCCATATTTGGGTGGTTATTAGCAATCCTTGGTGTTAGCTAGTAGATGCCTCACTCCAATCTTTATCTGACCCACAGCGTGTCCTGCTGTGTGCCTCTCCTATTTGAAAGACCAAATTAGAGTTTATTCAAATGACCTTGTTTGTCCTTGATTATATCTGCAAATACTCTAAATCCATTTAAGGTCACATTCACAAATACTGGGGCTTAGACTTTTGCATGGGATGCAATTCAACCGACAACACACATTGAAAAGCAATCATCTCTCTTTGCTTTTTAGGGTGGAGAAAAGACCTGGATTTGCAGCAGTGGAACTGCGGCTGAGGAATTACTACTACGACGTGGTTAACTAAATATCCTAGTGTTGTTGTCTGTGCCTGCCTTTTGTTAGACAACCATAAAAAAAATGTACTTAAGTGAGTTTGATTTTGAGTGCTTCTATTGTTCTCTGCCCACTGGAGCTGCAAGCCTCGTGTGGAAGATCCTTGTATGTATGCAAATAAGGCACAAAACATCTGAGCAGCAGGATCAAAGAGCTGCCTGATCCGTTTGTTTTCTTGTACACATAGTTTTCTTGACAAGTTAATTTTAGGGGCTATTTCCAAATTCCTTTTATGTCTTCCCAGTCCTTTGGATCCTGCGAAGCATTTGAATACCTAGCAGATCCTGAGTCTTGACCAAGGATGTTCTCCCTCTGTGATGCATAGCTCATGAACTCATAATTCTTAACGTGTCCCAAGGATACATTTGAAGCATGGCTTGTGGAATGTGAGAGTACAAGGGAAAATAAGAAAGGAACTTGGGAGTATCTAGAATGTGCTTTTGACAGTGTTTAAAATGTATACCTGTGTGGTAGTCAGATGATTTTAAGTCAACTAGATGCTCATGGCTAGGAGTAATGGACTCAGGCTTGTCAATCAGGCCACAGCCTGATGCTTCTTCCGTGGGGTGTATCCTTCCCCTAAGGAGGACCCTGGAAGAGAGAAGGTTCTCTTTTCCTCTCCCTCCCCATTCACCTGCCTGCTTGCTGGACACGCTGAACCTGCTAGAGCCCTGCCATGTTTCCACCAACCTTGGACCTATGTGACTCTGCACCCACTGGTCTGGGATGTTGCAGTCTGTGTCACTGTGGCTACGTGAATCTGAAGAGTGGCTTATGGACTGGTATTGGACTTACAGATTGAGTTGGACTGGCCTGGCACACTTTCTTGCTGTGTAATATTATCTTGATAAAAGCATTTTCTTATACATATATGAGTGTCACTGGATTTGTTTGCCCTGTCAACCCAGCCTAACAGCCTGGTTGCTTAAAAACTTTCCTAAGGATAAAATGTTTGGAGTGTTTTTTTGTTTTGTTTTATTTTTGCTTTGTTAACTGAATGTTACTAGTGTACTCAGACAGTTATGTAGAAAAAGGTGCGGAGGGGTGGGGGGACAAGGCAGGAACCTGCTTTCGCTCTGTGTTATGAGATCACAGACATATCTATGTGGTTTTACCCCGAATCCCCTCTCCCACAAACCATCTTTAACATGACATTCACATGAATCTAATGAATAAAATTTTGTATTGTAGAGTGTGTATGGGAGATAAGCTGTCTGCCATCTTGGGTCTTTGAAACAAGACCAGGTTTCTGGTTGACTGTGCGTTTGATGCAGATTGCTTTAGACTGATGGCTACTGAGTATAGTCTTATGTCGTAAGAATGCAGCCAGAACCTGCCCCCCAACCTATCTTATTCTGTATCCCTTGTGAGGAAAATATGGTGGTTCAAAATGTGTATAAGTTGGGTTTCTAAAAGTGTTCATTCATGATCAATCTATAGACCCTGACTCTTACCACTAATAGGCTTTATTGAGTATGTTGTGTGACTTTGAATTAAAAACACAAACCTAAGAATTATCAATCCTGTAGTCTTAGTTAGTTTGGTCTTAGTGTTTTATCTCATATACATCATTAGCCAATGACATTAATTCTGACCTTCAAAATTAGATCTCTCTCTTATTCTTCTGTCCATGAATATGTGTGAACTTGGAGCCATCCAGCTTCATCCAAGACATTGTTCAGGATATTCTCTGACTGTGGGCAGTAAAATAAGCCTTCCTCCTCATAGAGGAGGTATGTAGAAAGTCAACAACCAGTACCTTGACGTAGCCAAAGTAGACAAAAGTCTGTTTTGGACTTGTGCTAGGAAATTCCTAAAAGCCACCCAAGAGATTTGAAACCATGCTACCTGCTGGTTTCATTATTTTGTTAAAAAGAGAATCCCAATATTCTGAAAGGGCTGAACAGATGGAATACACATTAATCACTTCACTTAAAAATATCAAAATAAAAATCTATTTGTCAGGCCAAACTTGTATTTATAATCATAAAAAGATGAGTTGGATATGCTGGGTTTTGGTAAATGGTGATACTCTCTGAGAAAAAAAAAGTCTCCCGAGTGCATGATGTCTTCCTTCGGTTACTCCCATAGTGTATCTACAATCCATGCCACAAGCTTATCGGAACAGGTAGCAGGTAAGTTGTAAATGTAGAGAGATGATACCTTCTTCGAGTGTGATTTCCCCAATTCTTCTCATTAGCCCCTGGTCTTAGAATTAAAAACATCTAGAATGTGAGGAGGCAAGGGGAGTGAGGGCCTCTCTCTACGCCAGAATCCCAGCCGGGAAGCAGGGTCCCTCCCCGCCTCAGACACTTTCCTCGGCCTCTTCCCTTGGTTGAACAGGTCTGTGTACAGACCCACCCTCTGTATAGGCCAGTGTATGAAAGTCTTGGCCAATAAAATTAGGGTTCAATGATTAGGAATAATTCTCCTTTCCCTTGGGTAACAGAGAAGGGCAAATAAAGAAAGGTAAATTAATTGAAAATCTTATCATATGAAAGGGGTAAAATTGCAAGGTTGAGAAATGGCTTCCAAGGCTTCTCACAGGTCATCTAGCTTGGACTGCTACATTACCTCGTGGATTGTTTCAACCTGATCTCCCCCTGAGATCTAGGCTCTCTACTTGATTCTTTCAACCTTCTAATCCTTCTTTAGCAGGGGACTATGGAATATCAGAGACAGGTGACCTAACCAACTCCACATTGATCGTGGGTGCCACATCCCTCATGCTCCACTGGGACCGAAGATTTCGAAAACAATCCATCTGTTTGTGGAAATAATGACATGAATGTTTTAATTGTGGATGTGTCCTTTATGCACACATTTGATCAGTAGCAGGGTTCTCGTTTGTTGTGGTCAATGGCTGCAGCCATGCCTAGATTGCTTCCTGTAGAGTTTACCACTCAGTGCTCAGGCCTCCCAGCTTCCAGAGGGCTAACTGGATTGTTTCCTGTAGAGTTTACCACTCAGTGCTCTGGCCACCCAGCTTCCAGAGGGCTTACTGGATTGTTTCCTGTAGAGTTTACCACTCAGTGCTCTGGCCACCCAGCTTCCAGAGGGCTTACTGAGCTTCATAGCACTGCAGTGTACGAGGAGGACTCAAAAAGTTCCTGGGATGATGCATGAAAGATAATGGAAATTTCCCGTGAAATTTTCCAAGTCCCCTTATATTGTCCCGTGCTTTTCAGAAGGGCTCCATTTTGTCATTGGATTTTTTAAAAAACTATGGTTTCTAATCATCTTACACTAGTTCCGTGATGATTTTTATGAATGTTCCAGGTTAACTAGTCAAACAGATGGTGTTAACCAACATGTCCAACCTGAGTTCTAACAGATCGTGTTGATAGTTTAGGGACTAGAATATTGTGCTCCCAGCCCTGTTTCAGGATGATGTATGTATGCAGACCTCTACCTAACCTGCCCATGAGCCGGAAGGAGGAGGCCCTTCCAGGAACGCCCTCTACTCTGTTCATCAGCAAGACACTTAAAGACGCATGGTAACGAGCCCCACAGAGCAGAATGCCGCTCAGCCCCATCCTGACCACAGCACAGGGCCTAAGGAAACCTCAAAGTGGGGCCACAAAGGGAAGGGGTGCTGAGTTTTCCCTTCCTTCTCTGTGAAGATGGAATAAGGAGACTTGGAAACCCCAGGGAATAATTCCGGAATCCTGAGCTCTTCCTGTTCTGCAGGAGATTCTTCACATGAGCATATTTATGCACAAGTATATCTCACTTCTATAGCCTATGCACCACATGCATATACCACCAACACCCATACCTCACATATTATATACATACCTCCCACATCCTGTACACACCACACACATACACTTACACATTACACAACAAACACATATGCAATCCATAAACAGACACCACATACACATATCACACACGGATACTGCACACACTGAACCTTGCTCCACATCACCACCTAAATAGGGAGGATTCATGCTGCCCGTTGACGGCAGGTCGCTGGGCCTGCAAGTAAGGACTTAAGAAAGGGACTTTCATAAAGTCGGAGGCCAGTTTGAGCTCTTTATTTTATTTTATTTTATTTTTTTAACATTTTATTAGGGGCTCATACAACTGTTATCCCAATCCATACACACATCAATTGTGTAAAGCACATTTGTACATCGTTTCTCAAAACATTTTCTCTCCGCTTAAACCCCCAAGCTCTTTTTTTTAATGAAGCTGAGTTAGAACACACGAAATTATAGAGTTTGCCGCCCTCTGTTGTTAAGCCCTGAGCCCCAGGACAACATCTATAAGGAATGATGACAGGCTATCGGAGCATACAGTCTGTGATATTGCTGTCAGGGCAGTGAAGAGCGCATGGGCTGGCATTAAAATCTGGGTCCTTACAGCAGTTTTTGTTTGAGGAGATCACGTAAACTCAGCCTCCTGATTTTCTCACCTTTAATAAAGGTCAAAGAACCCGAGTCAGTGGCCTGGGGCCTTGATTTTAGGAATGTTAACGGGCGCTATGGTTTGTACTTCTCAAAGACTGATGATCTTGCTACATGGGAATTCTTCAGCCGGAAGAGGGCACTAAGTCACGGCTTTAAAAATACACGGCATCTTTTGGTTTCTGTTGTGGGATACCATGGAAACTATTTTTAGTCCTCCCTCCTAGCAATCTCATGTGATGGAGTAAAACTGCCTCATGGGGTTTTGAAAGCTGTGATATTTACAGGAACTGGTAGCCATGTCTTTCTCCCACAGAGTTACTGAGTGAATTCTTTCAGCCAACCTTCCTGTTAGCAACCCAGTCCTTAACCCCTGCACCACCAGCGCTCCTTGATCCTTAAACAAGAGCGAAACCACTATGATGAGATCTTATTTCATTTAAAGAGTGAGACAATGTCCCTCACCTGAATTTTATTTGAGTATGGAAGTTTCCCTGCCTGTCCCATGTGGCTTTGTTACAAAGGTGAATCCAAACAGGGAGAGATTTAAAAAAAATAAATTTATTGGGGCTCATACAGCTCTTATCACAATCCATACATACATCCATTGTGTCAAGCACATTTGCACATATGTTGCCATCATCATTTTCAAAACATTTTCTTTCTACTTGAGCCCTTGGTATCAGCTCCTCATTTTTCTCTCCCTCCCCCAACCTCCCTCACTCATGAACCCTTGATAATTTATAAATTATTATTTCTTCATATAATAATGTTTCTTTACACTGACCGATATCTCCCTTCACCCACGTTTCTGTTGTCCATCCCCCTGGGAGGGGTTATATGTCGATCATTGTGATCAGTTCCCTCTTTCTTCTTCCACCTTCCCCTTCCCCTCCTGGTATTGCTGCTCTCATTATTGGTCCTGAGAGGTTTATCTGTCCTGAATTCCCTTTGTTTCCAGCTCTTATTTGTACTCATGTACATGCTCTGGTCCAGCCGGGGTCATGATAGTGGGGGTGAGGGAAGCATTAAAGAACTAGAGGAAAGTTGTGTTTCATCAGCACTATACTGTACCCTGACTGGTTCGTCCCAGGGAGAGATTTTTAGGTCCAAACGATCCGCATTGAGTCCATTCTAACCTACCATGACTCTATTGCCAAAAAGGTACAGGGGCCACATCTGACTTCTTCCTGCTTCAATAAGGAGCAGGAGCATCCATCTCCATACCAGCCTAAGGCCCATGGCCACATGACTAAGGTCAGACCTGTCTCTACCCTCCATCTTTCTTTACCCTCTTCCAACACCAAGCATTCCTCCCACAACACTCTACTTATCTTCCAGTCTCCATCATCTGTGGCAATGGCCACAAACCACTCAGGGACCATACTCACAGCAGTGGGGATTTATTAGGGATGTTAACAGGTTACCACAGAAAGGATCCTAAAACAAAAAGAAAAGAATCTATGGTCCACAGCAGCATCTCTCCTTAGTCAGCAGCCAACTCACCCTCTCATTCTCAGTCTCACAGAGGACTCTGGG